CCTTGCGAGAATAGTGTGTTTTGCATGGCACTGCCTCTTTATCGTGATAGCATATCAGGTCTATCACAAGAATCATCTCTCGATGTAAAAAGCAGCGCTTTCTGTTCGAATGCTTCTCAGAGTGAGTTTATGAAAGTCAAGTCAGAAACTATTATACAAAATGGTGCAGTTTTTACCACGTGTATACCGGTCTCATTCACTTGGTCAGCTTCCAACACTCTCAATCAAACAGCAAGGTTATACACTTCAATATATATTAGATAGACAGCAGACATTTAATATATGAATCAATCAATCAGTCAAAATATTAACTCATCTTACTAATGGGAAGAGTACGACAGATTAACAACGAATAACATTTAGCAGAGCAACAACGCAAAACAGTTTGTTAATAAACAGTGCAAAGACTAATATGGTCAATCAAAAAACGTTAAGGCCTTCTACCTCCAAACCTGCCATTAGCGACGTACAACAAATAACCACCCTCAAACTGTACAAAATTTCCTCCTTGAAAGAGGCACGGTAGACTCAAGCAAAAAGGTCAGTAGTAGGCAATCATTCGATTAAACATGCTATTTTTAGCACTATATGTTAATACGGAACGTTTTACGCTGTCTGTCAATATAACTACCAACGCAACAATGATGTACTCGAGCATTTCGGCAGTCACGTAATCTGATCTATCGAAACATGCACGTAATGCAAAATAATGACAAACATAAAGCATAACGGCAACAGGAGGAACGTTGTTGAAAAGGGAGAAAAATGAATCATGGCTGAAAAATTATATTTTAATGAGTCATATCCGAAAACTGAATTAATGAATGCAGCGAGAGAGTTTCATATTAGTACTGTGTTCCTTCTTCAACTTAGTTAAGCAACCTAGTTTCGTCACTAGTGCGCTCTGACCGGCACATATTTCCACGTCTCAACTGACGACACTCGTTAATGTGATTTTGCACACTTGAATTAACAGGTATAAACAGAATATATACATAAAATATCGATGAGAACGTGTGGATATTATTACTAGAGATAAAGAAGGTTATTTTTCGATGAGAGGAAACGCAGAATCAAATTTTGAATTAATCTATAGAATCAAGATTCACAAGAATACTTTCAAAATCGTTTCATCTTGCGTCGTATTCTTTGTACAGCTGACGAACTTGCAAAATAATGAAAGTTTTGAATAATGCTTATGTTCTCACTTACTCAACCTCAAGAATGTTTAAGAATTTGAGAATCCGTGTCCCGGTTCCGATTCGCTCTTCGCGAGGGATACAGAAATCGTCTTTTGCAATCCTACGACACGTCAATGTCCCATGGGGCTTTGGTGTCACGTCGGGAAGGATACCGAAAGCACAATATGCTGTCCTGGAGGTGAGTCGATTAGCATCTGAAATTTATTATTAATCGTTTAAGTTTTAGCTTCTGAGCCATGCCTGCAACCGCTGGTTGCTGGTGAGGGTAACGACGGGCAAAAGCGATGGTACTTCAATCAGAACTACAGATCATGTATCGAGTTCGAATATAACGGCAGACATGGTAACCAGAACAACTTCCTGTCCGAAGTCGAGTGTGCTGCAAAGTGCCCAGGTGTGAGATAAACTGCAATGTAACCTCAAGTACCTGGTATGTTCTTTTAGTTCATCGTAATCCATGCACAAAAATTATCACTCAATTTTCTACAACTTACTGCTCTGCTCAGAAACGTGATGTATGCCCTCCAGGATCATGGTGCCACATTGGGGCAGACGACGAAACAACCGTCTGCTGCCCAGAAGGTAAGGATTTACCGTAGTTTGACTTGATCAGCAGGTGTTCCTGACTCTTAAATTATGTGTTCGCTTATGTTAAAGAGTATACTGCAGGCGTCAAATGTATAATCTAAATCAGACGCTAGTAAGCAAATCATAGCTTCTGATCATTCAGAACTGCTGTAAATTCAATGGTAGAGATTTTCGATATTTGAATTACAACATGCACAAGGTCAACATTTCAAAGGAAACGTTGTATTATATTGAATAGATCTTTTGCGGAGGCATGAGCCGGAAACAAATTTTAATGAAGATTAGGCGATTCTTCCAAAGAGTTCATAACGGAGGAAGAGCTGTCCCATACTCTTTTGTACGAAAAATCTGTTCAGGCATAGCTTCGCGTGTCTCTTGAATAGGTACCATTTATTTACTCGATTTATTTTTTGATCCGGTTATAGTTTTTTTCTTCAAGGTAAATGAGTGAAACTTTTGAAACTTCTCGAATAGACTTAGTCGTTTGTCTCGACGCCTTTTGTTTAAACCTTTTAAGTGATAATAATCTCAATTTGTTCTCGGTTGTCTGTCACGTTATTCTGTGAAAGAATGTCAATTTAACGAGTCTCGTATCCATCGTATATATTACGTGGTTGATACATTTAGACTGTTTGTATTAATTTGTGTTGTTGTTTGTCAACATTGACTATGCTGGATGTCAACTATTTACTGACTTTAGCATCAAGTGGGGTTTCAGTGACGGAAACATTTGGCTTTGCGTTTCTTCGTTGTTCTTAATAGCCTTAATTCGACTTTCCCTCGTTATGGGCGCCACAGATGAGCAATTCTACGCTGCTCCTTGCCTCACCCGCTGGTCGATTAGTTTCGCTTTCAGTTCGTAATAGGATAATAGGATGTTTTCGGACTACTGTGTTGACGTTTGTAGTCAAATCGAATTTTTGATATCCCACAGTTGCAAGCCACGCTGGAATTTTCCCATTCTTTTTTGCGTCGTAGAAGTCAGAGATGATGTCCGTTGCAAGAGTTGATTGTTTGGAAAGTGATCCTTTAGTGAAATCATGCATACTCTTTGCTCACTTGCCTTTTCCTGATTATTAGCTTGTATATTTCAGAATTGGCGGTGGAGCGGCATTTAGCGTTATGATAATGGAATATCTTAGAACGTATAGTGAATAAGTACCGTATATTAATGATGCTCAAGTAGGGTAAAAAGCTGACCCACGCGAATCAGCTGATTTTACTGTCCAACAAATTACTCCTTAACT